CAGACCTGGAGGAGCAGCTTCGTGCCTCGTCACTGCCGCTGAAGGTGGCACAAACAAGGCTAGAGGGTAGGACTGAGCGGGTTCGTCATGACCTGGTGAGGGACGCCCCGCAGGATGGTCTCACAGCCCAGGTCCAGCATCTCACCCGTACCCGCACCTTCCTGCGTCAGACACTGGCCAAGGCATTGTAAGTCTGGTTGCAAATGATATGACACCAAGCTGTGTGTTATGGCACTTAAGTACAGTTCATTGTACTGTGCTTAGTAAAAGAAATGGTTCACCTTGAATGGCTTCCTCGGTAAGCTAAAGTAATGGGTAGTGTTAAGTAGTAGAGAAAGGTGAGGCAGGTATCAATAATGGGTATCATGTGACTGCCAGTCCTAATATTACCTGGAGTTTACCTGGAGAGGGTTTCAGAGGTTAATGCCCTCGTGGCCCGGTTTGAGATTAGGCCTCGTGGTGAATCAGGGTCTGATAAACCAGGCTGTTACTGTTGGCCGCACGCAAACTGACGTACGAACCACAGCCCGGCTGGTCAGGTACTGACTTTAGGTGCCTGTCCAGTGCCTTCTTGAAGACAGCCAGGGGTCTATTGGTAATCCCTCTTATGTATGCTGGGAAGCAGTTGAACAGTCTTGGGCCCTGGACACTTATTGTGTCGTCTCTCAGTATACTCGTGGCGCCCCTGCTTTTCACTGGGGGGAATGTTGCATCTCATGCCAAGTCTTTTGCTTTCATAGGGAGTGATTTTCGTGTGCAAGTTTGGTACTAATCCCTCTAGAATTTTCCAAGTGTATATTATCATGTATCTCTTGCCTGCATTCTAGGGAATACAAATCAAGGGCCTTCAACCGTTCCCAGTACATTTAGGTGCCTTATTGTACTTATGTGAAAGTTCTTTGTTCACTCTCCATGCCAGCAATTTTGCTTGCCTTGAAGGGGACAGTTAGTGTACAGTAGTATACCAGCCTAGAGAGAAAAAGCGATTTGAAGAGAATCGTCATAGGCTTGGCGTCCCTAGTTTTGAAGGTTCTCATCCATCCTACCATTTTCCAAGCAGATGTGATAGATACATTGATGTGGTCTTTGAAGGCGAGATCCTCTGACATCACACCCAGGTCCTTCACATTACTTTTTCACTCTATTGTATGGTTAGAATTTGTCGGATACCCTGATACAGTTTTAATTTCAAGTTTTCCATATCTGAGTAGTTGAAATTTCTCTTCATCGAGCTTCATATTGTTTCGAGTGGCCCATTTGAAGATTTGGTTGATGTCCGCTTGGAGTCTTGCGGTGTCTTCAATGGAGATCACTGTCATGGCAATCCGTGTCATCCGCAAAGGAAGATATGGAGCTATGGCTTACATCTCTGTCAAATATGAGGACGAAGAATAGAATGGGAGAGAGTACTGTGCTTTGTGGAACAGAGCTTTTCACAGTAGCTGCTTCAGACTTTACTTTTACTATTACTCTTTGTGTTTTATTTGTCAGGAAGTTATAGATCCATCTACCAACTTTCCTATCATTCCTCTATCACGCATTTTGTGTGCTATTACACCTTGGTCACGCTTGTCGAAAGCTTTTGCAAAGTCTGTGTATACTACATCTGTATTTTGTTTATCCTGTACAGCATCCAGGGCCTTGTCATAGTGGTCCAGTAACTGGGACAGACAGGCGTGACCTGCTCTAAACCCGTTTTGCCCTGGGTTGTTTAACTGATGGGTATCTGAGTGGTTGGCAGTCTTGCTTCTTAGAACCCTTTCAAAGATTTTTGTGATATGGGATGTTAGTACTATTGGTCTATAGTTCTTTGCAATTGCTTTACAGCCACCTTTGTAGAGTGGGGCTATGTTTTTAGTGAGTGTGGGATGACCTTTGTCCATGCTCCCTCTCCATAGAATGCTGAAGGCACGTGACAGGCTTCTTGCAGTTCTTGATAAACAGAGTTCTATGAGTCTGGGCCTGGGGCAGAATGCATGGGCATGTCATTTATTGCCTTTTCAAAGTCTTGTGGTGTTAGGATAATATCCGAGATTTTTGAGATGACCAAATTTTGGGTCTTGTTCATAAAGAATTCATTTGGATTGTCGACCCTTAGTCTGGGTAGTGGCTCGCTGAACACTGAGTCGTATTGGGACTTTAGTATCTCACTCATTTCTTGGCTGTCATCTGTGTATGTCCCATCTTGCCTAAGCAGGGGCCCAATACTGGATGTTGTTTTTCCCATAGATTTGACATAAGAGAAGTATTTTTTTTTTTTTTTTTTCAGTTTCCTTTATGGATTTTAGTTCTTCCTGCAATTCTTGTCTCCTGTAAGATTCCTTCAGCTTAAGTTTGATATTTGCAATTTCATTAACTAGTGCCTCCTTTCGTATTTCAGATATATTGGCCCCTCTCAGCAGCTCTGACTCTTCGCCTTCGTCTGCATAGGGAGCATGTCTTCGCCTTCGTCTGCATAGGGAGCATGTCTTCGCCTTCGTCTGCATAGGGAGCATGTCTTTGCCTTCATCTGCATAGGGAGCGTGTCTCTCTTTCTAGTTTACATCTTCTCTTTCTCTTTCTTAATGGAATGTGCCTTGAGCAGATCTTAGGAACCAAAGAGTTTATTTTTTCTAGGCAACGGTTTGGATCCATGTTGTTTAGGATATCTTCCCAGCTTGTTTCATTTAGGACATGGTTGACTTGTTCCCATTGTATGTTTTTGTTATTGAAATTGAATTTAGTGAAGAAACCCTCATGACTGATCACATTTTTGCTAGTCAGGAGCCCTGTGCATTCATGTCCGTAGTACCTCTATTATGTTGTGATCTGAGTGTATTGTCTTTGAGACGGTTATATTATTACATATCAGATCGTCGTTGTTAGTGAGGATGAGGTCCAATGTATTTTCTAGTCTTGTAGGCTCTAATATTTGCTTGTTTAAGGTGAATTTGGAGCAGAGATTTAATAGATTGTGTGTGTGTGTGAATTTTCATCTGAGCTGCCTCCTAGAGTGATATCTGCTAAAATATTATTTGCTACACTCCTCCATTTTAGGTGTCTCAAGTTGAAATCTCCCAGTAGCAAGAAGTTTGGGCCAGGAGTTGGTTGATTATCCAGACAGTGATCAGTTTTCAAAAGCTGCTGCTGGAATTGCTGGGAAGTTGCATCTGGAGGCTTGATTCCAACCACAATGACGGTTTTGGTTTTCAATCTTTACCACCAAAACTTCAACTACATCACATGAGGTATTTAGTAGTACTGAGCAAATGAGTGACTCGTGACGTACAGGCCAACTCCCCCTTGTTGCCTGTTTAGTCTGTCGCATCTGAATAGGTTATAACCTGGGATTCATATATCATTGTCAAAATGATCCTTTATGTGGGGTCTCTGTGAATGCTCCAAACATTGCATTTGACTCCGTGAGCAGTTCCTTGATGTAAGGAATTTTGTTGTTTGTTGACGGCTTCAGATCCTGTATGTTCACAGACAAATGTTATATTGATGGAGTTTAGGGGGGTTTTATTTGTTGGCTCTAATATCTGTTCTTGAGTGGCCATACTTGAAATTCACTTTCCACCACCAAATTTGGAAGCATCTTTTCTTGAACATTTGAAGCTCCTCCACTGAGGATTTTGGAAGTTGTCAGATCCATTCCAGGATGCTGGGAATGAATGGGTTTAACAACTTTTGGTCCTATATAGAGCACTTGCACATACTAAGTGATTCTAAAAATCTGGCCCCTAGTTGCTGTACATTGTTGAAAATTTAAAGCTGATTGGATGAGGCATTCTCATGATATGAGTGAAATAAAAACGAGACACTGGAGGAAGAAAAGAGCAATCAGGCACCCACTTACAGGTCTCCTCCAGGAATACCTAATTATAAGTTTGTTTTGTTGATATTTCTGAGTCTAGGAGGCTTAAAGTATGGAGAAATTTGTTTGTCTACTTTCTATGAGCACTGGTAATCGATCATAGTGGGCAGGTTGTTCTACCTTCGGTGAGGTAGTTGAATAAAAATTACGTTGCAGACATACATGTATATGGCTTACAGGTACAGTCTAGTAATGGGAATCTCCAGGGTTGTGTATGCCCTTTCTTAGACATAAAATTGGATTATATTATAGTATTTTTTCTTCCATACTCTCAGGGACGCATTGCATGCTCTACAGCGCCACCTGCGCACAGTGGATGTGGACTTGGGTCGGAAGAATCTCTCTGTGAGCCTGGAGAAAAAGGTGCAAGACTCCCGTGAGGCACTCAAGACTCACTCACCTCCAGAAACTTTGACACATGCTAATCTCACACTTACTGGTTCCCTAAGGGTGCACCCGACACAAATTCTCTAAGAGCTTTAGTATATTTTAAGGGTTAATTAAAGCTTATCTCCTCTTCTGCAGCTGTAGTTTAGCAACGAATATTCGAATTGCATATACATGTACATGTATATAGATGAAACTGGTGACCCAGTATATGAACTCTGCTTCATGTGTTCTATAGGCTCTGCACTTCAGGTATTCTTTATTGACGCGAAAAAGCTTATAAACCAAGTGCAGCGTTGCTATTTTATAAATATAAATTTTCCATATTGCATTTAAGTGTATTATTTGTTCCAATTTGTCTGTCTTCACATACCATTCCTGTTATATCATAGATGACAATAATACTCTTCCATATAGCTTAAGGTCGAGGACACTTAAAACCTTAAAAGTATCTCAAAATTGAAAATGGCAATAGCATTTCCTCACTTTCAAAAAAGTCCTTATTTCAGTGACAGTTATAGTGGAAACCTTTGCTGAAGTGATCAGGGATAGGTACATTAAGCTTGGATGGTTATCAGTGATGTGATAATCTCTGACTTGGGCAGGAGATTGTAATTTTGCTGGTTAGTTTTGTTCCAATAACTGGAAAGAAGGCATTTAATTTATTTGCTGTAGGTGGTCCAATATGTTAGTTTGTTAAAAAAAAAAAAGTGTCTACAGAAATGGTGGGGACTCAGTGAGGTCAAAGTGAATGTTGGTGGGACAGGGACATCGGAAATGAATCATGTGTTGTTCTCTGATAGGAAAATCGGTTAAGATATATTATTACAATCAAAAAGAAGTGCTAAACCCACAAGGATCATGCAGCACTACAGGGCAGTAGTATTTGCTATAAATAAAATATGCAAAGATCAGAGACCATTGAGGGTTAGGAGCATTTATGAGGTAAAGTCTGTAAAGGTAGTGAGGAGTGCTAAAGTGAAAATATAATCCAAGTTGGTGTAATAAAGCAGTCGCTGACAAATACAGTGGACCCCCGCTTAACGATCACCTCCAAATGCGACCAATTATGTAAGTGTATTTATGTAAGTGCGTTTGTACGTGTATGTTTGGGGGTCTGAAATGGACTAATCTACTTCACAATATTCCTTATGGGAAAAAATTCGGTCAGTACTGGCAGCTGAACATACTACTGGAATGAAAAAAGTTCGTTAACCGGGGGTCCACTGTAATCAAAGAGGGGGTCTGTGTCAAAGATGGGGCAGGACGTATTAAGAGATAGTGTACTGACAGTGCGAGGCGAGTCCTCTCAGTGCAGTGCAAGAATCTTTTAAGACTACTACTGTTTGCTGATTGATAAATTTTCTTGTACTATGCTGGTGTCCTCTGATGTGCTGCTTGCTCGACCAAAGCTGTCGATGACCTAGCAGAAGCGCTATGCACATAAAAGGCCCGATCTAGAACACTACTGGAACAGGTCACATATCCCCTGACAGCTTATAAATTTAAGATGATTTTTTAGCAAAGTCCTATCTCACAGTATTAACAAATCAAACATCTGCTAACTAGTTTTATTATGTGACCTCTAGGCTCTTAATTCTGCCAATCCATAAAATCATCTTATTTCTCAATATTAACCAAATCTGCCAAAACATCTGCTAAGTAGTCTTGTCATGTGACCTGGCTTTTAATTCTGCCATTCCATAAAATATTACCACCTGCATCATTACTTGTAAGGTAGATTTTGTGTGCAATTTCAAGCTTATTTTACCGAACCCTATGCTGTATAGCCCTTGTGGCTTAGCGCTTCTTTTTGATTATAATAATAAATACCGAACCCTACTCACTTGTACTAAGTTTAAATAATATTGTATTAAATTTAAATAAGATTGTAAAACAGCTAACCACTATTACTTGTCTAGTTTTAAGTATACTAGTTACTGTGTACTATTATCTTATCTAGTTTTAATTAGTTACTATGTGTTAGGATTAGTTTGCCCAAAATGCCTCGGCATGATAGTGGCTATCTTTGTACTTAGCAAATCAAAATTGTAATTACACAATGTAACCTTTACATTATTATTATTATAATCAAGGGGGAAGCACTAAACCCGGAGGATTATACAGCACCTGGGGGGGGGGATGTGAAAGGCATTCAGGCTTAATTCAGGGAACTGGAGCACACATCCAATTCCCTAAATCAAGAGCCCCTCATGAACATCAAGGAACCTTCCTTGAGGGGTGTAACCTTTACAAAGAAATACTTTACTTACATATACAGTATTACATTCATGGGGAGCACTAAACCCACAGGGGTCATACAGTGTCTCGGGGAATGGAAGGTTTTCAGACTTGATTCGAGGAATTAAAAGCATTGGTTCAGTTCGGGACTGCATAGTACAACTGATCCCCATAATTTGTAGGTTAGGTTCCTGGAGGTGATGGGATTCCTTAATCCCATACTTAATAGGAAATTAAGAATGTCCTATTATTATTATTATCAAAAAGAAGCACTAAGCCACAAGGGCTATACAGCAATAAGAATGTCCTAATTATAGTTTCTTCAACTCTTAAATCTATATCTATGTGCACAGTACTGACATTCATAACTATACTTGCATATTATTATAATCAAAGGGGAAGTGCTAAACCAGTAGGATTATACAGCACCTGTGGGGGGGATGTGGAAGGTATTCAGATTTAATTCTGGGAAACTGGAGCATAGATCCAATTCCCTAGATCAAGATTATTATTATTATAATCAAGGGGGAAGCGCTAAACCCGGAGGATTATACAGCGCCTGGGGGGGGGGATGTGGAAGGCATTCAGGCTTAATTCGGGGAACTGGAGCACAGATCCAATTCCCTAAATCAAGAGCCCCTCACCAGCATCAAGGAACCTTCCTTGAGGGGTGTACTTGCTTAATGAACTAAATCCTACACCTACTTTTCAATTTAAGGGTTGTATGCAGAGCAAAAACACAATGGCCACTTAAGTTTTGAGATATGCTTTTTATACAGTGTTTTACAACAGTTACTGTTTTTAAACCATATTTCATTAAGACCACCATCTCCATAGAACTTATTTCTCCAAGACTTGCCTCTGTAATGAGACAATTTGTGCAAGACTGCCTCTCTAAGGTGATTTACTTTTGTGGGATTAATTTTTATGGAGAATGGTTGTGTTGGAGTGTGAGCAGGGTAACATTTAGTGAAGGGATTCAGGGAAACCGGTTATTTTCATAAAGTTGGACTGGAGTCCTGGAAATGGGAAGTACAATGCCTGCACTTTAAAAGGAGGGGTTTGGGATATTGGCAGTTTGGAGGGATATGTTGTGTATCTTTATATGTGTATGCTTCTAAACTGTTGTATTCTGAGCACCTCTGCAAAAACAGTGATAATGTGTGAGTGTGGTGAAAGTGTTGAATGATGATGAAAGTTTTCTTTTTGGGGATTTTCTTTCTTTTTTGGGTCGCCCTGCCTCGGTGGGAGACGGCCAACTTGTTGAGAGAGAGAAAAAAAAAAGTGCTAGGGCCTGATGATCATTCCTGTACTCCAATCAAACAAAACACATTCAAACCCAACAGATGGGCAAGACCACTCTTAACTTTTTTTTTTTTTTTTTTTTTTTATATCCCCAGTGGTCATACACCACCTGAGGAATCTGAAGAAATCATGTTTGATTTCAGGAAGGGGAGAGAAGCTAGCTCATATTCCTTTGATCATGAGCCTGTCACCAGCATCAAATTATTATAAACAAAACAGTGATAAACCTACTAGGGTCATACAGCAAGACTGGTCTAGTGGCTAACGCGACGGGCTGAGTTTTGAGACTCTGACCGCGGGTTCAATCCCGGCCGGGGGTATGGTCATACAGCAACCTACATCAAAGCACCGCCTCCCCTGAAAGGATTCTTTTTGATTATAATAATAATAATCCCCTGAAAGGAATGAGGACCAGTAAACAACCTGGAGATAACTAATGACCTGTACGGTAAATTTATGTTGCCTATGATGGGAGGCAATCAGCTTTGATCCAAGGAAGGGGATGTTAGGTCCAGTTCCATGAATCAAGGACCCATATTTGAGGGAAGGTTCGATCCATGGGAGATCGTCCTATTTCTTGGAACACGAGGCCCCCTTACTGGCATTGAATAAACACCAATAAACTTTATCCTACTTTAATTTTATGCACTGAACCCATATGGGTTGTACAGAGCTGAGTAAGGGTGTGCGATCACTATCAAACCTGAGTGCCTCTCGTTCCTCAGTGGTGTACGGGTTTAACATTTTTATTAAATTATAACTGAAAAATCACAATACCTTGATAAACACAACCTGCACATAGGAGAATGTAACTTATGAGGTTTCGGACTGAAACATCATAAGTTTTATCGTGTTAAAGTATTAAACAGCCTCTCCTCATTTAACGACGGAGTTCCGTTCCTAAGACCAAATCGATAAACGAATTTTGTTGCAGAGTGAGGAGCGTACAATAATGGTAGTGGGTTTATGCCAACCATCTTTGACATTGTTTAAATGTCATCTTTGCACCATCTATGACATTTCTGATATATTTTTAAATGTTTATACAGCAGTATAATGTAAAAAAAAGAATTGAGGAAATCAACTCTAATATACATTATTTAGGTATGCATACTGGTCAGAGAGCCCATTGTATGTCAGTCCTCGGTAAACGAGTACATCGTTAAGTGAGGAGAGGCTGTAATGGGAAAAGCTCTGTACACTATCGGTCAATGTGCATAGGGAATGGTAGTCAAACAGATTTGATTCGAGGGAAAGGATAATCCCACTTAACCCTTAAACTGTCCAAACGTAGATCTAAGTTTTTTCAACATTTGAATGTAAAAAAATGTAATTTTTTTTTTTTTTTACATTTGAAACCATGTAAAAAAACTGATCTACGTTATTTTTTTGTTATATTTGAAAATATGTAAAAAAATGTAATTTACTTTTGGAGCAATACACATGTGAGCATAGATCTGTTTGGATGGTTTAAGGGTTAAGTGCCCCTCACCAGCATCATGGCAGCTTTATTAGATTCCTAGTTGGAGCACTAAACTCAAAGGGTCATACATCATCTTGAATTATAGGAAATTAGGTTCCATCAAAGGAATGACCCAGAGCACCTTTCCAGAAAAAAAAAAGAATATGTGCTATGGTAAAAAACTGAAATCTGGAAGTAGCATACTGTACTTAAAGTAAAATTTACACAGCATTTGACAGTTCAATTTCACATTCCAAGGTTCTTTGGGCCTCTGTAGTTTCAATTTCTCATTGACATGGTTTCACTGGGTTGAGTTTCCACTCCTTAGCCTCTAGTGCTGATCTATAGTGCCTAAGTCTCCTCTAGGCATTAATATACTCAAGGATAAGCACCAAACTGAAAAGGATATGGTAAATGAGGCATTCAGGTTCAATCCAATGAAGTGGAGGAAAAGTCCAGTTCCTTGGATCAAGAGCCTCTTCATTGGCATTAACGTAGTTCCCTAGAGTTACTATCAACGGATTTTGTATAGGGAGCCACTATTAAGGTCAAATTAACATATAAAGGAAAAAACAATGAACAAACATTTAGGCCAAAATATGTTGCCTGGTCTCGATTCATTCAGAATACACCAGTGCAATACTGCATGGGTAATGCTGAATGCTCTTTATCTTCATCCAGTTACAAAGACAGGCTCCCCTTACAGGTGAATAGAAACCATACTAGGTACTGAACAGGCAGCAGCATAGTTAATTATGCATCTAACAGGGAAAGTACATTGCTTTCCTTTTTCCTCCAGGGTATAAGTAACTGGAGGAAAAAGGAAAGCAATGGTACTATTTATTTCTTTGTAATGAGGGAGGTGCTACACCTTTAAGGGTCATAAGAGCCCCCTCACCAGCATTTAGGCAACTTGGTTTAAAATGCTCAACACTGGTGAACCAGAGGAAAGTTCATGCACCTTTTGGAAAGGGCAAGTGTCCTTTTGTTAATTAATCGTTTTAAATCATTCCTGATTTGGGTTTCCATGCAAACATTTAAGAGCCTCTTCTGGTCGGCTACTGTTCCTAACTACAGCACTTCAGACACTTCAGATTATTATTACTGTCTAGAAGCAAGCAAGACATGCTTGCGTCCACTTCTAAAACAGGACCTCTTGACTTATAGAAAAGCCGTTGGTTCTGAGACCAGAGCAGCAATTTCCAACTAATTTTAGGTCACTGATAATGAATATCATTGTTAAAATGGTTTGTTAGCTCTACTTTTCAATATACACCTATGTGTCACAACAGGTTCCAACAGCAGTATTTCTTTCCACACATTCAGTCTCACTGCCCTTCATTATTGTTCCAGCAGCCATAGGTGGTGGTTGTGCTGTCCAAGTTTATATTTTGAGGTAAAAGGTAGGCAACTTTCTTAGCCAAACAGGGCAGATACACCAAGTACTGCTGCTTTCCATGTGAATGGGACAGCCTTGCAAGAGGTTCCCACTAAATCAGGAGACTGGCCACCTCGTCAATCACTGGAGCCTGGGATGAAAAATGTTCAACATCCACCTCTCATTGAACCACACAAAATTTTGCTACCACCACTACACATAAAACAGGCTCAGGAAAAACTTTTTCAAAAACTATGGACAAATTCAGTCAGGGATTCAAATATTTAACATAAAAATTCCCCTCACTGAGCGACGCTAAGATAAGAGGGGGAGTCTTCAAATGGTCTTCAGATTCAATAGCTTCTTAAAGATGGTGACTTTGAATCAGATATTCATGGGGAGGAGAAAGCTACTTGGGAAGCATTGAAGTTAGTGGCAAAGGGATTTCTCGGAAACAGAAGGAAAGGCAACTATGAAGACCTGGTGGAAAACTTCATCAAGGCTTACAAGAACATGGGATGTAAAATGTCTCTTAAAATCCACATTTTGGAATTGCCTTTAGATTTCTTTCCAGCAAACTGTGGGGCAGTTAGTGATAAACATGGTGAAAGGTTTTACCAAGATATTTCAAACATGGAAAAATGGTACTGGGGCAAATGGGGCACAAGAATTTTGCAGACTATTCCTGGACATTGGCAAGATATGATTCTTCAGCCCACTATGAGCATCAAGCAAAAAGGCAGAGAGTAGATATGGATTAGAGTTTAAAACATACTGACATTTTATGTTATAATAGAATCATCAAATATTACATGTCTTGTATCTTTAAACCTATAGCCAAAAAGCATTTTTCAAGGTGATTTTTGGATTCAGGACATGAAAATACATAAGAATTAACTAATCTCATTTAAGAAGCATAGAACCTTTCAAAAATGGTCGACCAGTGATACTTTTAGCTAACAGTTTAAACATTTGGTAACAATGCAACAATCGTTACTAAATCAAGGCATCTTTAAAGGCGTAATTTTCTTTAGACTGTTGTGCCAGAACCAACAGTAGGGGTAATATAGTGCCTGGGAAACGGGCAATCAAGTTTGAACAAAGGAAGAGGAGGTAAGGTTCAATTTTGATTATGTTTAGTCTTAGATTTTTATAATCATTAAGTGTTAAACCCAGTGCTGTAAATCTGCAGAACAATGGTACCTTATTGAAATATTCTGAAGTAGTTGCCTACTTGCATATTTTTACTGAAAAGAAGATTTATGTGGAAGCTTTTGAATGTCTCCTGATCAGCTTCAAATTCTTAAAATGATGACTCACGAAATCCTAATGACATGATTGCAAACATACCATACCACGGGCGGGATTGAACTCGCGGTCAGTCTCTCAAAACTCCAGACCGTCGTGTTAGCCACTGGACCAGTGGCTAACGCGACGGTCTGGAGGTTTGAGACTCTCTGACCGCAGGTTCAATCCCACCCGTGGTATGGTTTCTTAAAATGATATTTAACCGCATTAGAAATTTATGGAACATTGTTTATTACTTCTGCCTGCACTGAAGTAGCATGGGGGCTGGGTTGATGGAATACTTTTCTCAGTGAAGCAACTGAGCCAGGTTCGGTTTTCACAGGTTGCTGCAATCATGGCAGGTTTAGTTGTAACCAGTGTGACAATGCAATAAAGACCAAAATTCTTTTCTGCTACCAAACTCTGGGAGGGGTAGGCCCCAAATAGCTTTTCAAATAGAACCAGGCAAAAAACTTAATTAAGAATAGTTGAAAGAACAAGTACTTAAATTTGTTTAATTTCTATATACAATCTTCTGATGTCACAATCTAATGATACATGATGATACATGATATAAGTAATGAAGATGCACTGATACAAAAATGATATTAAGATGTACACCATCCCAGGTTAAGAAAATTATATAAAATGGAGGATAAATTTTTCAAAACTTCACCTAAATATAAATGGAAAATCTTAAAAGATTTCCTGGAATTCTTAGTCACCAACTAATAAACTGGTATGTTAGTTTACATTTATATCCAAATAGCTTACATATTAACCAATTTGCTCTAAAATTATTCCTTTTTAATTTTTGCAAGCAGTTCAGAATCTCTGAAGAGATGATATTCTTTCTCATCAAGAGTAACTTTCGTACCACCAAATTCCGGGAGGAAGACTTCATCTCCTACAGACACTGATGGAGGGATCACTGAACCAGACTGAAATAATGCATAAAAGATACAGTAATAATAATAATAATCACATTCAGAATTGCTGTTCACAAATAAGTTATGTAGCATCTGAGAAAAAGTACAGTAGAACCCCTGTATCTGTTTCTGCAGTTTCAGTTTATTGTGGCCCAAAAATAACCCTTAATTTTGCTTAACAATGACCCCCAAAGCACAAAAGTAGTGGTGGTAGTTCTTCAAAGCCTAAGAGAAGCCATGAAGAGTTTCCCAGTGAAAAAGTGTTAATTCTCTACTTATTATGCATAATTTATCATTAAACTATCATAGGTATGTATGTAAATGAAAAAGAACTTATATATAGGCTCTGCTACTATCCACAGTTTTGGTCTTGGAACTTATCCCCTGAGGATATGGAGGGGGTGGAATTTAGGGGAAAGGGGGGGGGGGGGGGAAAGAGACTACTGTATACCCAAAATTTTGCTAAAAAAAAATTTACACAAGACTTGTGAAAACCATCTTACCTCGGTTCTTGCACCTTCTCCAACTGCCACAACTTTGCCTGTCAGAACCTTTGCAAGTGATTTCTCTGGAATAAGGATGCCACTACTGGTTTTTGTTACCGCTTCGGCCTTCTGTACCAACACTCTGTCAAACAGCGGAACAAATCTTCTTAGAACACCAGCCTGAAATGGAGCATTTAAGAATTCTAAATTAAAAGTGGAATAAATGTACAGTACAATGCTCAAAACATCCAACATAATTTGTCCTAAGTGCATATTGTACTATATTTATCAAATTATGATAAATACAGTGCACTACAGCTGGAGAAGACAATTTAAAATTTTTCCCTGCAGGCCTATCAACATGGATATGTCTAACACACATCAATGGCAACCATACCCACTAAAAAAGACTGGCACTTGACCCCACAATCTATTGAGACAATACCGAAATGAGTTCAGATGGTTTCAAATACAAGACAAAAATACAGGACCTCAGAATGACTAACCCAGCAATAAGGAATATCAGTAGAAAAGTCTCCAACACAAACTTGGCAAATCCACTTGAAATAAACTCACCTCAACACATCAAAGACGTTAAAATCAGTGACACGAGACCCAACATACCTGAAGGATGTTTTCGGGTAACAACATACCCATGGACTAGTCCCAGACCAAACCTTTGTGGGTCGTACGATCACACTGCGGTGTAATGTGGTCGCCAACAGTGGAAGCAGGAAGTGGGGTGTTATCCCATGGCACAGCCCGTCCAGGAGGTGACAGCTGTGCCTGAGTCGGGTGCACATCAGAATATGTCATCGTGGAGTGCAGGGGTGGAGCGGGAGGAGCTGCTTGAGGGAACGTGTGAGACTACTTGGGGAGTCTTCCTCAGTTTGCCTCCCTCATGGAGGGAGTGTGGTGGAGGACATGTTAGTGACTGCGCTGCAAGGTTTATTGGAAACACCTGGTGTGGTGGGTGAGGAGGGGCTTGTAGAGACCCTTGAGAACATGTCTGGTCTGAAGTCACAGGATGTGGAGGAGCTGGCTGAGGGGCAGGATGCCGGGGTGAATGTAGTCATCGTGGAGGCGGTGGTCCATAGTGAAGGTCCTCTGGAGGTGGCTATGGAAGTGGAGAGTGGGTCACACATGAGGGCGGAGGCACTGTCGGACTCTGATGACGTCCTCACCCCGGCGCAGAGGCCTTGCAAGGTGTGGGCAGAGGTGGCACGGGGCGGCCCTCAGGGGCCACGTGGCGTCTAAAGGAGGTCCTCGTGTGTCTGACATTGAGCATGGTGGCAGACGCCAGCAGGCGTCTAGTGGCGTGTCAGTGCCGAAGGGGCAAAAGGTACTGCCGGCTTGAAGTGTCTCTCAGTGAAGGTAAATGGGTTGCGAAATAGAGTGAAGTGTACGTGGTTCACGGGTTTTCTCCGTAGGTATGGGGTGGATGTGGCTTTTGTGCAAGAGCACAATTACAAAGCCGGGTGCGAGTTGGTACTGGATGGTTTCCAGGGGCTTGTGGTGCATTCAACTCAATTGAAAGGGAAGGAGGGTCGCCATTCTGCTGCAAGAGACTAGCCCGTTTGTTGTATACCGAAGTGAGGGGGGAGGGGTGCTGTGTGAGTGGACGGATTGTGGATAGGGGAGAGGGTGGCGCTAGTGTGCGTCTATGGGCCAGCGGAGGGGGGATAGGCGTGTCAAGAATGCTTTTGTAAGGGATGTATTGGTCTATCCCCTCGTGGCAGTTGTGGGGGGTGACTGGAATTGTGTGGTGCGCAGGAAAGATGTGGAGCCGCGAGGGGTGGGGTTTTGCTCTGTAGTACTAGGGAATCTTTTGTGCGGGGTGTGGTTGTGGGATGTGGCTAGGGGTGAAGTGTGGGAGGTGGAGCACACGCTTGTGCAGGGAGGATGTGCTGCTTGATTAGACCGACTGTATGTAACACGGACTGCAGGGGTAGGGAGGGCGTGTGTGATGGATGTAGCATATTCGAATCATGGAATTGGGGCGAGACAGGTTACCAAGGAGGCATCGGAGTTATTGGAAATTGAACATTAGGCTTCTTGATTAAGGGGAGGGGAGGGAGGGGGTTTGCAGGAATGTGGAAGGAGTTACAGTCAGGGGTGGAGGCTGTTGAAGATTTGTTGGCGTGGTGGGATGGAGTGGCAAAGGAGAGGATTCAGGATTTTTATGTTCGACAGGGGAAGGGGGAGGCTCAGATGACTTTTGGGCTTATACGGTATTTAGAGGGGTGGTTGAGGGATTGTTATGGGGAGGGGTGGGGGCTATTCTGTGGAGGAAATAGAGAGGCTGAAGCAATGCATCAGGGAACTGCATAATATTGTGTATATGGACTTCAGTAAGGCTTTTGACAGGGTCCCACATCAGAGACTATTGAGGAAAATTAAAGCACATGGAATAGGAGAAATTTTTTCCTGGATAGAGGCATGGTTGACAAATAGGCAGCAGAGAGTTTGCATAAATGGGGAGAAATCAGAGTGGGGAAGTGTCACGAGCGGTGTTCCACAGGGGTCAGTGTTGGGCCCCCTGCTGTTCACAATCTACATAAACGACATAGATGAGGCCATAAAGAGCGACATCGGCAAGTTTGTCGATGACACCAAAATAGGCCGTCGAATTCATTCTGACGAGGACATTCGAGCACTCCAGGAAGATTTGAATAGACTGATGCAGTGGTCGGAGAAGTGGCAGATGCAGTTTAATATAGACAAATGCAAAGTTCTAAATGTTGGACAGGACAATAAAATAACCATGCCACATATAAACTAAATAATGTAGATCTTAATATTACGGATTGCGAAAAAGATTTAGGAGTTCTAGTTAGCAGTAATCTGAAACCAAGACAACAGTGCATAAGTGTTTGCAATAAAGCTAATAGAATCCTTGGCTTCATATCAAGAAGCATAAATAATAGGAGTCCTCAGGTTGTTCTTCAACTCTATACATCCTTGGTTAGGCCTCATTTAGATTATGCTGCACAGTTTTGGTCACCGTATTACAGAATGGATATAAATTCTCTGGAAAATGTACAAAGGAGGATGACAAAGTTGATCCCATGTATCAGAAACCTTCCCTATGAGGATAGACTAAGGGCCCTGAAACTGCACTCTCTACAAAGACGTAGAATTAGGGGGGATATGATTGAGGTGTATAAATGGAAGACAGGAATAAATAAAGGGGATGTAAATAGTGTGCTGAAAATATCTAGCCTAGACAGGACTCGCAGCAATGGTTTTAAGTTGGAAAAATTCAGATTCAGGAAGGATATAAGAAAGTACTGGTTTGGTAATAGAGTTGTGGATGAGTGGAACAAACTCCCGAGTACCGTTATAGAGGCCAGAACGTTGTGTAGCTTTAAAAATAGGTTGGATAAATACAGGAGTAGATGTGGGTGGGTGTGAGTTAGACCTGATAGCTTGTGCTACGTCTTTCATAGGGAAGGTTTCTGATACATGGGATCAACTTTGTCATACTTCTTTGTACGTTTTCCAGAGCGTTTATATCCATTCTGTAATACGGTGACCAGAACTGAGCAGCATAGTCTAAATGAGGCCTAACCAAGGATATATAGAGTTGAAGAACAACCTGAGGACTTCTATTATTTATGCTTCTTGATATGAAGCCAAGGATTCTATTAGCTTTACTACGAGCACTTATGCACTGTTGTCTTGGTTTCAGATTACTGCTAACCAGAACTCCTAAATCTTTTTCGCAATCCGTAATATTAAGATCTACATTATTTAGTTTATATGTGGCATGGTTATTGTCCTGTCCAACATTTAGAACTTTGCATTTGTCTATATTAAACTGCATCTACCACTTCTCCGACCACTGCATCAGTCTATTCAAATCTTCCTGGAGTGATCTAATATCCTCGTCAGAATGAATTCGACGGCCTATTTTGGTGTCATCGGCAAACTTGCTGATGTGCGGTTTTTAATAAAATATATAACCCCCCGAAGAAATGTCATTTAGACTTTTTTGGGTTATCCTTGGTAATCTACACATGTTATGTATGATAGTTTGTGTAACTGTATTTGTGTACATATACCTGAAAAAAAACTTTAGCCACAAAGGAAATAAGTCTTCGATGATGCAGAGTTTCTTGGGTTATCCTGTGTGGCCTCCGGGTTAAAAATCCGAACAAATATAATCTCATCTAAAGTTCTGGATGGCGGCACTACCAGCATCAAGACACCAGCCCAGATCATGTAGGAGCACCGGCCTCCCCTACCAGATATAACACTAACTTCCTCAAGCCTCTCTACAACCAATATGTCACTATTTCATGACATCCCCATCGTTCACTTACGCAAAATAACACCAATGTTAACAATAAGAGAGGCCTAGTACTTGCCATTATGTAATATACAATGTGTGAGGGTTCGCGTGTAGTAGCGTCGTCTGCTGTTGGTCTGGCTGCTGCTGCTGCTGCTCCACATGGCCGCCACAGCGCACGCGCGCTACACTCATACTCGAATTTTCTTATGAATAACTTTAAAATAATACTAACTTTTACGTCAGTTTTTATTAAAAGTAATTACTGGATTAAATTACTATATGTTTATGTTAATATAGGTATAGAAAAACTTAAGAATTCGAAATATAAAGTATTTTTTTTTGGAAAGTATTACTTGTAATTTATTAAAATTTTAATTATAAACATTCTATAGATTTTTTAATAATTACTGATGATATTTAAATGGAGAGAAATAATACTTATATAAAGTAAGCTGAAGAGGCACAGTACCTTCTAGAATGAGGGCCCTTCAGCAAGCATAACCTATAATTATTAAATGTAAGGTATTATATAAGCAAAATTTCTAGAAAATATGATATGTACATTTCAGCTAATTCTTTATAAGACTATAAATAAATAATGTAACGTAGAGAGACATTAATAGTAAGCTAGAATGGATGAAATGGATGAAAAGGGACCTTTTGACTGGATAAGATTTTTGCATCATCTAAGTTTAAATCCTTACAATTTAACCAATCATGAACGATTATAATAATCTTATGCATACTGCAAACAATTTAGAAATGAGACCCATCAGCCAGTAAAGACAATGACTGTTTAAAAACATTATTACTTACTTACTTACGAGGGTGGTGGAGGATGTATTAAGCTTGGTGAGTGGGTGAGTGAGGCAGCTAGAGTCGTCTGCTGGTGGTGTTCTCTGGACGCTGCCAGCCACGCTGACACACTGTCTACTGACTCATCTAACATTTCCGAGCTCTTGCCTCTCTATTAAGTCAACTATAACAACCAAGTAAGTAATTATGGTGCGTATAAGTTATGAAGAGGTAGAGAAGTGGGTGATGGTAGTGTTGGCAGTGTGTGTGTAGTGTTATTATGGTGTTAAAATTTGAGTGGTGGCCGGCATGGTGATCTCGCATGGCGCTGTGATGCTGTGCCGGCATTACCTGCCTTCACCACCACACCTACACCTGTTTAATACAGCACTTACTACTGTTATTTAGTATTCATACTCTACTACTGGTGTATGTGTTGTTTGCATCTTAATCTTCTTTAATTGTAAAGTGAGAAGCCCTTCTAAAAAATTCATGTGTCAAGTGGTTGTCACTACATCGTTAGTTTAGTATTATTAGTTAGGCCTCATTTAGATTATATTGCATAGTTCTGGTCACTGTATTACAGAATAGATATAAGTGCGCTAGAAAAAAAATCAAAGAAAGTTGATCTCGTGTATCAGAAATGTTTTCTTACAAGGACAGAGTGAAGGTCCTCAGTCTTCACGCTGGAAAGGCGTAGAATTAAGGGGGGGGGGGATCTGGATTTGGTTGAAGCGTATTAACGGAAAATAATAAATAAAAGGGACGTAAATAACATGCAAAAAGTATCTAACCAAGACGACTCTCAGCATGGTTTCAAGTTTGAAACATTTAGATATAGAAAGGATGTAGGAAAGTACTGGTTTTGAAATAGTGGATGAATTAAACAAACTCCCGAGTAGCGTCATTGAAGCTAAAATATTATGTAGTTTTAAAAATAAGTTAGATACATGCATGAGTGGGTGTGGGTTGGACCTGACTAACATGGGTCAGTAGGACTGATGCAGTGCTCCATAAGTTAAACACCCGAACGTTTTTGTAGGCATTACTTAAAATAGGTAGTAGGTTGGTAGACAACAACCACCCAGGGAAGTACTACCGTCCTGCCAGATGACTGTGAAACAAAAACCTGTAACTGTTTTGCATGATGGTAGGATTGCTGGTTTCTTTTTCTGTCTCATAAACACGCTAAGATAACAGGGATATCTTGCTACTCCTACTTACACTTTGGTCACACTTCACAGACAAGCACATGCATATATATATATATACATACATCTAGGTTTTTCTCCTTTTTCTAAATAGCTCTTGTTCTTTTTTATTTCTTCTATTGGCCATGGGGAAGTGGAAAAGAATCTTTCCTCCGTAAGCCATGCGTGTCGTATGAGGCGACTAAAATGCCGGGAGCAATGGGCTAGTAACCCCTTCTCCTGTATACAATTACTAAAAAAGAGAAGAAGAAAAACTTTATAAAACTGGGTTGCTTAAATGTGCGTGGATGTAGTGCGGATGACAAGAAACAGATGATTGCTGATGTTATGAATGAAAAGAAGTTGGATGTCCTGGCCCTAAGCGAAACAAAGCTGAAGGGGGTAGGAGAGTTTCAGTGGGGGGAAATAAATGGGATTAAATCTGGAGTATCTGAGAGAGTTAGAGCAAAGGAAGGGGTAGCAGTAATGTTAAATGATCAGTTATGGAAGGAGAAAAGAGAATATGAATGTGTAAATTCAAGAATTATGTGGATTAAAGTAAAGGTTGGATGCGAGAAGTGGGTCATAATAAGCGTGTATGCACCTGGAGAAGAGAGGAATGCAGAGGAGAGAGAGGATTTTGGGAGATGTTAAGTGAATGTATAGGAGCCTTTGAACCAAGTGAGAGAGTAATTGTGGTAGGGGACTTGAATGCTAAAGTAGGAGAAACTTTTAGAGAGGGTGTGGTAGGTAAGTTTGGGGTGCCAGGTGTAAATGATAATGGGAGCCCTTTGATTGAACTTTGTATAGAAAGGGGTTTAGTTATAGGTAATACATATTTTTAAGAAAGAGGATAAATAAGTATACACGATATGATGTAGGGCGAAATGACAGTAGTTTGTTGGATTATGTATTGGTAGATAAAAGACTGTTGAGTAGACTTCAGGATGTACATGTTTATAGAGGGGCCACAGATATATCAGATCACTTTCTAGTTGTAGCTACACTGAGAGTAAAAGGTAGATGGGATACAAGGAGAATAGAAGCATCAGGGAAGAGAGAGGTGAAGGTTTATAAACTAAAAGAGGAGGCAGTTAGGGTAAGATATAAACAGCTATTGGAGGATAGATGGGCTAATGAGAGCATAGGCAATGGGGTCGAAGAGGTATGGGGTAGGTTTAAAAATGTAGTGTTAGAGTGTTCAGCAGAAGTTTGTGGTTACAGGAAAGTGGGTGCAGGAGGGAAGAGGAGCGATTGGTGGAATGATGATGTAAAGAGAGTAGTAAGGGAGAAAAAGTTAGCATATGAGAAGTTTTTACAAAGTAGAAGTGATGCAAGGAGGGAAGAGTATATGGAGAAAAAGAGAGAAGTTAAGAGAGTGGTGAAGCAATGTAAAAAGAGAGCAAATGAGAGAGTGGGTGAGATGTTATCAACAAATTTTGTTGAAAATAAGAAAAAGTTTTGGAGTGAGATTAACAAGTTAAGAAAGCCTAGAGAACAAATGGATTTGTCAGTTAAAAATAGGAGAGGAGAGTTATTAAATGGAGAGTTAGAGGTATTGGGAAGATGGAAGGAATATTTTGAGGAATTGTTAAATGTTGATGAAGATAGGGAAGCTGTGATTTCGTGTATAGGGCAAGGAGGAATAACATCTTGTAGGAGTGAGGAAGAGCCAGTTGTGAGTGTGGGGGAAGTTCGTGAGGCAGTAGGTAAAATGAAAGGGGGTAAGGCAGCCGGGATTGATGGGATAAAGATAGAAATGTTAAAAGCAGGTGGGGATATAGTTTTGGAGTGGTTGGTGCAATTATTTAATAAATGTATGGAAGAGGGTAAGGTACCTAGGGATTGGCAGAGAGCATGCATAGTTCCTTTGTATAAAGGCAAAGGGGATAAAAGAGAGTGCAAAAATTATAGGGGGATAAGTCTGTTGAGTGTACCTGGTAAAGTGTATGGTAGAGTTATAATTGAAAGAATTAAGAGTAAGACGGAGAATAGGATAGCAGATGAACAAGGAGGCTTAGGAAAGGTAGGGGTGTGTGGACCAGGTGTTTACAGTGAAACATATAAGTGAACAGTATTTAGATAAGGCTAAAGAGGTCTTTGTGGCATTTATGGATTTGGAAAAGGCGTATGACAGGGTGGATAGGGGGGCAATGTGGCAGATGTTGCAAGTGTATGGTGTAGGAGGTAGGTTACTGAAAGCAGTGAAGAGTTTTTACGAGGATAGTGAGGCTCAAGTTAGAGTATGTAGGAAAGAGGGAAATTTTTTCCCAGTAAAAGTAGGCCTTAGACAAGGATGTGTGATGTCACCGTGGTTGTTTAATATATTTATAGATGGGGTTGTAAGAGAAGTAAATGCGAGGGTCTTGGCAAGAGGCGTGGAGTTAAAAGATAAAGAATCACACACAAAGTGGGAGTTGTCACAGCTGCTCTTTGCTGATGACACTGTGCTCTTGGGAGATTCTGAAGAGAAGTTGCAGAGATTGGTGGATGAATTTGGTAGGGTGTGCAAAAGAAGAAAATTAAAGGTGAATACAGGAAAGAGTAAGGTTATGAGGATAACAAAAAGATTAGGTTTATCTGGAGTTTATCTGGAGAGAGTTCCGGGGGTCAACGCCCCCGCGGCCCGGTCTGTGACCAGGCCTCCTTAGGTCAGTGTCCCAGGATGCGACCCACACCAGTCGACAAACACCCAGGTACCCATTTTACTGATGGGGAACATAGACAACAGGTGGAAAGAAACACGTCCAATGTTTCTACTCTGGCTGGGAATCGAACCCAGGCCCTCACCGTGTGAAGCGAGAGCGTTAACCACCAGGCCACCAGAGGTGATGAAAGATTGAATATCAGATTGGAGGGAGAGAGTATGGAGGAGGTGAACGTATTTCAGATATTTGGGAGTGGACGTGTCAGCGGATGGGTCTATGAAAGATGAGGTGAATCATAGAATTGATGAGGGAAAAAGAGTGAGTGGTGCACTTAGGAGTCTGTGGAGACAAAGAACTTTGTCCTTGGAGGCAAAGAGGGGAATGTATGAGAGTATAGTTTTACCAACGCTCTTATATGGGTGTGAAGCGTGGGTGATGAATGTTGCAGCGAGGAGAAGGCTGGAGGCAGTGGAGATGTCATGTCTGAGGGCAATGTGTGGTGTGAATATAATGCAGAGAATTCGTAGTTTGGAAGTTAGGAGGAGGTGCGGGATTACCAAAACTGTTGTCCAGAGGGCTGAGGAAGGGTTGTTGAGGTGGTTCGGACATGTAGAGAGAATGGAGCGAAACAGAATGACTTCAAGAGTGTATCAGTCTGTAGTGGAAGGAAGGCGGGGTAGGGTCGGCCTAGGAAGGGTTGGAGGGAGGGGGTAAAGGAGGTTTTGTGTGCGAGGGGGCTTGGACTCCCAGCAGGCATGCGTGAGCGTGTTTGATAGGAGTGAATGGAGACAAATGGTTTTTAATACTTGACGTGCTGTTGGAGTGTGAGCAAAGTAACATTTATGAAGGGATTCAGGGAAACCGGCAGGCCGGACTTGAGTCCTGGAGATGGGAAGTACAGTGCCTGCACTCTGAAGGAGGGGTGTTAATGTTGCAGTTTAAAAACTGTAGTGTAAAGCACCCTTCTGGCAAGACAGTGATGGAGTGAATGATGGTGAAAGTTTTTCTTTTTCGGGCCACCCTGCCTTGGTGGGAATCGGCCGGTGTGATAATAAAAAAAAAATAAAAAAAAAAGAGTAAAATCCTAGGTAAAATCCTCTCGCCATTATAATGGCGACACGCTTACGATTAAACATGTTTGCAGCACTGATACATTTGTTACTGAAATGGTCAGGGACTAAATGTCTTAAAATTACATATCCACTAGCGCTTCTTCCAGTATGAAAGTCTTATTTGAACTGTGCAGGCAAAGCTTGTAGGCAGTAACGATATCTTGTGTTGTACGTATTTCTTGTAGTTCCACTAGTCCCTCCACCCCCCTTGAGATGATCTTGAACTAAAGAATTGGAACTGGCCTCTATTCTCTGAAGTGATAAATGAGCCTTGTGGTTCTCCCATGAATATAATTGTCCTGCTTATTTTAAAATTACCACATGTAGGACATGTGCCCCGGGGATGGGATGTACTGTTGCTTTGGCTTTAGATTTCTAACTAGAATAGCTGTCTTGTTTTGCATTTCGATTTTGATCTTTTAGTTTATAAGTACCATATATGTAGTTTTCTTTTTTTTTCAGGATTAGAATGGTACAAAACATGCATGAATAGTGGTGTCTCCAAATTTATGCAAGTTGCATTCCTAGGGATCCTGTGAAGTATATACCATTGGGGGGCCAGGTTATATTGACAGTTTTATGAAATAACCATTGTGGGAACACTGTGAAGCCAAGAGTGTTGATCGAATCCATTCACTGATGTTTTCGGGAATAATTACGTGGGGTGATCAAGCGAAGAGTAATAAGGCTTTGGAGGCTTCTTGCTTTATTTGCGGTTTGTGGTACACAGACTGTGTTTGTGCCCATGGCCCAGAGGGCCATGCCCGCGAGGAAGATGGAGTAGACCTTGTTGACTCTTAGATGCCTGCACATCAAGCGAGAGCAAGGCAGGGTGATGCAGGTTGAAGTGGTATGCCCACCAGGCTTGCCCTCTGATGGCAACTATAAAAACTAGCCATGTAGGCTTGCAGTCTACACTGATTGCTGCTCGGCAAAAATACTAGATAATCCGAAGCTTTCGAATTAAGGCACACAATAGGAGAAATTTTTTCCTGGGTAGAGGCATAGTCGACAAATAGCCATCAGAGTTTGCATAAATGGGGAGAAATGAGAGTGGGGGCATGTCACAAGCAGTGTTCCATGGGGTCAGTGTTGGGCCCTTTGTTCAGTTTACAAAAGTGACATAGATGGGGGAATAAAGAGCAACATAAGCAAGTTTGCTGATGATGCCAAAATAGGCTGTCCAATTCATTCTAATGACATTAGAGCACTCCAGGAAAATTTGAATAGACTGATGCAGTGGTTGGAGAAGTGGCAGATGCAATTTGATATGGACAAATGCAAAGTTCTAAATGTTGGACAGGAAAATAACCACGCCACATATAAACTAAATACAGTCTCTCCTCACTAACGATGGAATTCTGTTCCTAAGACCACGTCGGTAAATGAATTTGTCGCTGAGGAGCATACTGTGTTAGTGGGTTTGTGTCGTCCATTTTTGATAGTTTTAATGTCTTTTTTGCACCATTTATAACATTTCTGGTATACTTTTAAATGTTTATACAGTAGTGTACTGTATATTCCAATAAACAGAATAGAGGAAATCAGCTGTAATATACATAATTCAGGTTTGCATATGGTCAGAGAGCCTGTGCAAGTCAGTCATCGGTAAACAAGTATGTCTAAGTGAGAAGATGTAGTGCAGCTCTTAATATTACTGATTACGAAAATTATTTAGGAGTTCTGGTTAGTAATCTGAAACCAAGACAAAGTTCATAAGTGTTTGCAATGAAGCGAACATAATCCTTGGCTTCGTATCAAGAAGCATAAATAATAGAAGTCCTTGGGTTGTTCTTCAACTCTGTGTATCTTTGGTTAGACCTCGTTTAGATTATGCTGCACAGCTCTTGTCACCACATTACGGAATGGATGTAAATGCACTGGAAAACATGCAAAGGAGAATGACAAAGTTGATCCCATGTATCAGAACCCCAATGGAAATAAGTCACTCTGTCTGACTTTTTTGGGTTATCCTAGGTTCTCTACACACATGCTGCTATGTATGATAATTCTATGTAACTGTATTTGTGTATACCTGAATAAACTAACTTACTTAGAAATCTTTCCCTTTGAGGATAGACTGAGGGCCCTGAATCTGCACTCTAGAAAGGTGTAGAATTAGGGGGATATGATTGAGGTGTATAAATGGAAAACAGGAATAGATAAAGGGGATGTAACTAGCATGCTAAAAATATCTAGCCAAGACAGGACTTGGCAGCAATGGTTTCGAGTTAGAAATATTCAGATTCAGGAAGGATATAGGAAAGCACTGGTTTGGTAATAGTTGTGGATGAGTAGAACAGACTCCCGAGTACTGTCATAGAAGCTAAAACGTTGTGTAGTTTTAAAAATAGGCTAGATAAATACATGAGTGGGTGTGAGTTGGACCTGACTAGCTTGTGCTAGTAGGTCTGATGCTGTGCTCCTTCCCTAAGTGAATGTGACTTGGACCGAACCAAGTTGGGGAAGTGGTATAAGCCGGTGGGTTACTTGGACCTGCCTCACATGGGCCAGTAGGGCTGCTGCAGTGTTCCTTCTTTATTATGTTCGTATGAATTTAGCAGGATACCTATATTTATATCTTTATACCATGTCATTCATTTAAATCATATATATATATATATATATATAATATATATATATATATATATATATATATATATATATATATATATATATATATATATATATATATATATATATATATAATATATATATATATATATATATATATATATATATATATATATATATATATATATATATATATATATATATATATATATATATATATATAATATAATATATATATATATATATATATATATATATATATATATATATATATATATATATATATTATATATATATATATATTAATACTATAATATATAATTAATTATTTTATTTTATTATTATATTATAATATAACAATAAAATAACATAATAAAATATAATGGAATTCGTCTTTTTTTTTTTTTCTACCTCATGAACTTTTATTCAGTAAACAGGTTTGCTTTCCATTAGTTGAATGATTTATGTTTGAGGTCTATGCAGAGTTTTTTGAATAGATGCTATAGCATATTAACCAAGAAGTTGCAATGGTTTGAAGTTGTAAATATAGCTTATTTTTGGAATCTTGTAGAGCAGAAGTGTAGATTAATGCCATTAACTGTAGAGTAATAATTGGAGTCGGAACCTTTTGTAGGGTCTCCACTTCATGCTGAAAGAATTTTCTTTATTTCAGACATGTATCGCGCAGCTTCCCTATTAAGAGTGCCGGTTACTCGGAATGCTTCCCTTTTCTTTCAAGGAAGATGGTATTCCAAAGATGTCAGGTTTGGGTCTGAAGTTCGAGCCCTTATGTTACAGGGTGTAGATGTTCTGACAGATGCTGTGGCTGTTACTATGGGCCCTAAGGTTTGTCTTGTATATTTTAATGTCTATTCTTGATAGGACAAATGTCTTAAAAGGCTGGCTGCCATTTTTGTAGATAAACATGATTTTGCAATCCAATTAGATTTTAAGCTCATTAGGCTATTTTCAATATTTATACTAGAGAACTTGAGAACTGATCTTGCATAAGAGTGAAACCTAGCTTAACCAACTTTATGTATATATTTGCTAATATTGAAGTGTTGTTTCTAGGGTCGCAACGTTATTATTGAGCAGAGTTGGGGCAGCCCCAAAATTACTAAAGATGGAGTGACTGTTGCAAAGGCTATTGAATTAAAGGACAAGTTCCAAAATATTGGAGCAAAACTTGTTCAAGATGTAGCAAACAATACGAATGAAGAAGCTGGAGATGGTACAACAACTGCTACAGTCTTGGCTCATACTATTGCTAAGGAAGGTTTTGATAGGATTAGCAAAGGTGCAAATCCAATAGAAATTAGGTAAGGACTTTAATATTTGGATGAATGTCAGTCTTTGTAAACAAAAAACAAAACTATGGGGTTGAAACTCCACGTAACAGGTGGGGGTTCGAGTCCATGGCAAGCAAGTGTTTACAGATTAATCTCCCACCAGTGTTTGTGGTGAACTCTAGCTCAGGTTCCCTCAAGGCTGCCATCAAGACTCAAAATCGCAACACAATTGCAAACAAACCATGGAGCAGGTGGGGATTGAACC